GTCAACACAAGATAAGTTTGATGTCGGCGTAAATGGTAAATGTACACTAGATGGAGCCAAACGCTAGGACAATGACATTAATAACTAGCAGTTCTTTCTCGGTGTAGAAATACATGTCTGAGTGCTGTAGTTATGCAGTAAGTCATCCAGCTGCAACACATTCGCCTGATTTAAAAAAAAACACAGAATAAGCCAAAATCACCGAGGTAAATGTGATCAAGGGCCATAAAACTTTAAAAATGAAAAACTATTTTACTAGAAACTTTCCAAAGGAAAAAAAAAACAACAAAACAAATCATCTGTAAATTCTTGTAGCTGTATAACAAAAAAATTACTCCCACATTTGCTTTATTTAAAGAAAAGTATTGAATTTCCAGAAGTCTGTCTCAACAACAACAGGATGTGGGTCACTTTTTCTTCTGAAGTATTTGTTGTGTTTAGCTGAGGTTAATTATTTGGATGCAGCCAAATGAATGTTTCTCATTGTATTTATTAACTAAGAAATGTGATCAATAAAAGATTATTACTGTGTATTTTACGTAACATAATAAAAAAATGTTGTGATATTTTTTGTTGGCCGTGTAAAGTAAGCCAATTCTGGGAAGAGTAGAGGCCAAACAAAAACTGTAAAAAAAAAAAAAGAAAAAGAAAAAAAGAACACCCTGTTTGATTTTTTATATGTAGAGTCTTGGAAACCCATGGAAAACATTCAACAAGTCTGAATAAAACTTGAGTTTAGATGTGAAATGTGTTTTTCAGAAATCTTTTTCTCTTTCTTTTAAATAATAGGCAAGGAATTCTGGAAATGTAAATATTTTTGCTAAAAGAAATGTTTGGGGGTTTTTTTCCATACTGATCTAGACCTGGAAAACCTTACAAGCAAGTTCTTGACTGACCGTAAAAATAAAACAATGCTTAAGTTACATTTAGTTTACTGTTAAGAACGCTAGTATTTCTTGCCAGTGATTCTGCGACTAAAAAAACAAATTAAAAGAACTTCTTGAAACCCTAACCCTTTTTCTCTCCCCCTTTAATTAACAAACAAATATTTAATTAATCTGTGTGAGCCACTGCAATAAAAGATGAATTTACGTTAAGGCTTTTCTTTTTTTTTTTTTCTTCTTTTTTTGCACATCTTTGCGAGAAGATGTCAAAAATTGTGTAGGATGTTGTACATTTTTCATCTGCAGTTAATTATTGAACAAAAAGCGAAACAAAGGCATCACAGAAACACAATGAACTTTGGGTGATTTCATTTAATTTTCATAAATGCAAAAAAATAAAAATCTAAGTCACACCAAAGGAGTCACCCCTCAGCTTCTTCACTGTCTGCATGCGGCTAAAGCAAAGATTGCTCAGGTGAGCTGAGGTGAAGGTTTACATTTTCATTCAATACATCTTGCGACGTAAAACCAGAGCTTTTGTAATTGTAGAGTAAGCGCAGCGCGTCACTCCCACAGTGTGAATCATCGTTTGAACAGTCTGACCACAGAGCTGCTGAAGTAAATCTGTGGACTCCAGTTTCCAATGAGACGCTATGTAATATATGACTACAGAATAAAGACATTTATTGGTTAATAACACATTTAAATACAACCCAAAATGGGCGCCGAGTTGTTCTCCAACCCACGTATGGAGACCTCGGTCCTCGACGCGGCCGTCACAGGTTCGAGTCCCAGCCTGATGACTTCTCCCTCTCATTTCACGCTTCCCTGCCTGACCATTCTCTAAAAGCAAATACAACCCAGAGCATTTATACGTTTAAGAACTAGTTTTCTGTCTGAAATTTTACAGATTAGATTTCAATGGAGCATTCCAACTTAAAAGTAATCTGAATATGCACAGAAGAAAGCTGGAAATTCATACTGAGAAGCCCTAAGGAGGCACTGAATTCCACATTTCATACTTCAGTAGAAATTACTTCATCACCTTAAAACACTTCCAAAACCTTTTCTGGTATAAACTGATGAGTAGGCAGGAGAAAAAGTGACCATGTAGGAAACGATTAAAGCTCAACCTCATCATCAGGGAAGTACGACTTCTAAAAAAATCATAAATGACAATACTGAGTGTTTAGTCCTGTTCAGCAACACTCTTAAATGCAATAAAATATCAGAACAGTGAGATGCAGAAATAAAATAAAAAAATCCTGCCTGCTTCATTTTTAAATGTCCCTGGCATCAAAAATACAATCAGCATACATTTTTCAAATCAAAAATAATAAAAGAAAACATTTATACCAATACTTTTTTCAATTAATTAAAGATTTTAAATTAGTTATATATATATATATATATATATATATATTTTACATTTTAAGAAGTCTCACTTCTGGCTTTTGGAAAAGGAGCTGTGATGCAGAGAGATACTGAGGAGTACAATGACATAAATGCATAATTCACAATTCAAACACTGATCCATACTTGGCATTCACCCTTAATAGGGGGACAATTACAAACAAGGCAAGCTTGTGTTAAGAAAATAATGCATTTAGCTTCATCCCTCCTGTGTATAAAGCAGCAAACAGACACTGAGTGCAGAAATGCACCAAACAGTGAACCTAAAAAGTTCATACTGAAGTGTTTCAGACTCAGCACCGGTCCAAAACCTCTTCTCTTCACAGCAGTGTCACAGGTTTTTTCTTAAAGATGTCATCTTGTTCCTCTTCAGAGTTATTTTACTCCTGCACTCTCTCTCTCTCCATACACACACACACACACACATATATATATATATATATATATATATATATAATTTTTCTGTCAGCTTCAGTGTCATCTGATTCTGGAGCGCTTGACAACTATCGTACCAGCAACCATGTCATAGACAGTCCTGTTGTGCTGAAAGAAGAGGAGCGTGATGAATGCTGGGAAAAAGAAGGCAATGGAAAAGTTCTTGTTCAGGGCTCGGACCGTTGACCTGCAGAGGAAAACACGAGTGAGGACAGGGTCAAGGTCTGAGGAAGAGTTGGGATAGATTTAAGAAGAAAAAAAAAGATATAGAAAGTAAGTTGCTTACGCGGACAGGGAAACATTTGTTGCCGGCACTACAAGCACCCTATTGGGCTGAACCAGAACCGACGAATCGCACGTAACAACTCTGAGACCGATGAGAAATTTCCCTGGAGTGGCTCCGCCAGCTCCCCAAATGCATACAATCTGAATACAGAAGAGAGAGATGCACCTTCGTCACTTCTTGTCTGCAGGCTGCAGCTATATGCAGCTGGCGCCTGGGAAACTATGAAATACTATTAAAGCTTCTCACCTCATAAAAACAAACTAATATCCGATACACGAGGGCAACGAGCATCATTTTCTGCAACTCCTCCATCGATGTGTCTTCATCGATTTCCTCCACAATGAAATGCATGGCAAACTTGGAAACGTCTCTGAGAAGCAAAACAGATCCAGATGCAAACAGTTGAGGTTTTTCCACCTAAGAGTGCCTTTTTCGTGTCATTTGTTGAAGCACAGCAAAAAACTTTAGCACAGTTAGGAATAGGTCTATTTTATCCAGTGGTATAGAAGAGTTGAGTAAAAAGAAAAAAAAAAAACACCCAACACATTTCAGTTTATTTGTAAAACAATAAAATAAATGAAAGTTAAGTATTCAGTTCCTTTTACCACATAATTATAAACTACTTTGTGCTGGTCTGACACATGAAATCCCAAATAGTTTTGCAAGGCAGTGTATACATTTAACTTTCCAAATAGGATAATCAAAAAATAATAATAATAATCTGTCACCTTTCTCCCAGATTAACAAAATAAACTCACTTAATTCCACTTAGGTGCATGATACTGATGATTATGGTTGCTTTGATGAAAAACAATATGAAGAAATCCACCATCTCTGCCATAAGTCTTTGGAGAGGTGAAGGAATGCTGTACTCTCGACCTGGTGAGAAGAAGTATGAAAATGAAGCTGTGTTTCAAAAGAACATAACCTTTAAATCCACAGTATTCAAATGAAACGAGAAATTCATTTGCAATCTGGAATTAAAGTTTTACTATTTCCTTCTGTACCTGAGAAATCGAAGATCTCAACAAATACTTGAATTTTCTAGAAAGTCGTTGAGTTTTAAAGGACTACTAAAGGCTTTCCAACAAAATCTCTAACACAGGATTATGCACATTCTGCAACTCTATTAACGCAATAATGGCATAATGTCAGTGTCAAATAACATTCCCTAATTAATGCTTTGTCATATTTGGAAGTATAGAATACAACAATGGCACCAGATACATATCACTTTTAAAAATTACGGTAGATATTACAGTAGAAGCCAAACTGTGACAAAATATGTTGGGTAAATTCATACAGAAGCTCAAGCAAATTTTAAAACAGTTAATTTTAAATAGCACAACCTGCTTAGCACACAAAAGTTGCGCAGACCAGCAATCATATCATAAACACACACATTTTATTAGTTTTAGCTGTAGTTGAGAAATGTTTTTGTTTGTTTTATTTTGAAGCCTAGAATACGTTTTTAACTAATTGTTTGTACTATTCTTTCAAAATATTGGGGATTCTGTATTTTGATCAAGAGTTCTTTTAAAGTTGTGTGACAGAAATAATCATAAACGCAAACCTACGGAGCCCGTCAGGTGACATGGAAGAGAAAAAAACTCGAGGCCACGAATTAAACGTGATAGGTGATGAAATGTACAACTTCCCCGAGGTCAGCGTATCGCTTAGGTGGACGCTGGAGCTTTTTAAGCAGCCGAAAGTGCTGCTAAGAATCGCTTCATGTCTAACTAGCAAGTAAGGGGCTTACAATTCATTCAGAGATTGAAATAAAACGAAATGAGATCGGTTTTGTCCATTATTAATGATAATTATTAAGTCGTACCCACTAATTAAAGAAGTCGTGGCCACGATTTTATTTTCCCTCCCGTCACCATACAAATCACACAGTAGGCCATGATTTCATTTGTACACAACAAAATCGGTTGAGTGTAAACAAAGGCGGTCAGGTCGGCAGCCTTTACCCTGTCTCTGTGGATTTCCATGATCCCGCTGCTGCTGCTGCTGCTGAGCGGCCGCTGGGGCCCCGACAGCCGCTTGCCCCGCTCGGCTGCTCGGGGAATGGACCGTAGGTGGAGAAGGCAACAACGGGAGGCCAAAGGAAGCATTTTGCCAGTTCTGAGGATCAAAAACAAGAGCGGTGGACGTCCCGCTGGGTGGCTGTAAACAGGGTGGGACGGTCATAGTTGAAGCTAGCAGCCAGCTTTGCCAGTTCACATATCCAGTGTAGTACTGCCACATCCATGCCTGTAGCTTCTCACAGTACTCCACAGTCGAGCAGCTTTCGACGGACTTGTTTTTAGGCTCTGGACTCTTCCGCTTGTCTGTTCTGTGGGTAACGTCGTCAAGCAGCGCCTTAACTTGTTCAACGAAAGGCTTATTCTTTCTCTTGTCCACTTCCATGGCAGTGTTTTCTCGGTCTGCCATGTTTACAGGCGAACCATGACGTGCGGACGTAAGGTTGGATCAGTTCATCCGGAAGAAGTCAAATAATTATGGTGACATTCTTGAACGTTACTGCTGAGAAACTAGTGTTGCACATAGTTTTGGCATCAGCTACATTGTATATTCATAAATTAATTTCAAATTATAAGAGGAATGTGCCCCCCTTCCCAATGCAGTAGTACCGTCCAATCTTTACCTGCCATTACAAGAATCAGCCACAAGATGTCAGTTTTTCTGCAAGATGGAAACTAAATGAGAATCGGCGTTTTAATTTTCATTTTTAATAGACTCAAAGCATCTTTGCCCCTCTAGTAAAGACCCTTAAAATGATCTCTACGGTATTAATGTATGCTCACACAGAATTAGTTAATTTAGACTTTAATACAAGTTCCTTCAACTTAATCACTGGGGCTGCAGTTTATTTGAAGATGGGTGGAGCAACACTCAAGGTACACTTAGAAAAAACACCTGTTGAACTTCCCACTACAGTGACTAAAGATTGAGTAAATGAACAGTTTCATTATGTGCAAGAAAGGCCCAAAGTCTAGATCTAATTAGAAAATTTATAACATTCTTTAGCCTTTGCTTGGTGTATGCATTTGTACCCCAATTAATTTCTTCAAGCCGTTTGCTACTTGCTGAAAACTGGACTTCACAATTTTAAGAGATTTGATATCCATTATGAGCCACAAATAACTATGGCTAAACCCATCCTGAATAGTTAACATTTACTAGGACAGTTTTAGCTAGACTCTTTATAACCAGAAGGAGCAGATAAGTAGCTATAGAACAATACATGAATTCAGCAGCCAATAGTATGATTGTGTTTAAGAGGGTAAAGCCAATTCAAAGTAGTCTGCTTCCTAAATCCTCCACCCCCCGTCCACACAAAGCTTAATCCAGACTAATGGGGTTAAAGAGGGGGGGGGGGGGGTTTAGAAAAATTTTCAATGGAAACACACTTGACAAAATATGCTCATGTTCAGTGTTAGTTGTTGGCCCAAAGCCAATTCAAGCATTCAGCTGCAGCCTTTGTGGCTTCATGAGTCGACCCAGTTTCAGAGAACCTGACCCCCCACACCCCCAATTAGGCGCTTGTTACAATTCCCCCCCCCCATATCTGTGCAAGATAAAAGGCCTCCTGCACACAGAGAGGGATCCCAGTACCAACCAAAGGAGGGATTTCACCTAAGGAATGCAATGTTGCTCGTCCTTCAGGCTTAGGCATCCCAGCAAACTAACGCTTTTTGCATTAAATGGTTTCATCCAGCTGAATTACTTTAATTTAAAAGCAGGCATGGAACCAAGTCCATGAAGCAATAAGAGGCATTAGCGTCTCAAAGCTATGATTAGTCTTGGAAATCATCCCAGTTCAATCAGTCTTGTGCTGATAAGTAGCTTTGAAAGCTCAGAATTAAAAACTTGTACAGAGGGGCAGAACATAAGCTCCACCCACAATTGTACTGCAGATTTACAGAGACCATTACATTTGAAGCCATAAAAAAAAGAAAAAAAGTGTAGAGCTTATCTTAATTAAGCACAACCACACTGAAAGTAGCATCATAGATTTTATTTAGAGCTTCATAGACCTCAATTCATTAGCATCCGGCTCACAGGGAGGTTATGCTGCCTTTTCATAGGTCCTAACTGCAACAACATCATCCATGATACATTTCTGTTGAGACAAAGAGACAAACCATTTGTCGTTTTAAAATGGTTAATTACCAAAAATGGAATAGTTGTGATTTCCCCCACTGCCCCCAAACTTAACACATTTTTACACTGGTTTAGTTTCATTAGAAGTAGTGAACTACATTTTAAAAAGGACAAGTGTGATGTTCGAGCTATTAAAAGTTTGTCAGACATTTCACTCACAGCCGTAAGTTTTCCATCTTGAACCTCCCTCTCCAGGGTCGTAGTCTTTCCTTCCCATGATTGTTTCTGCATAAGTTTTCCATTCTCCAAGGTGAAGATGGACTAATGAGGGATAAGAAAGGAAAATGGGTAAACGTGGAGTAGTTTGGATCGTAATATAAAAACACTTTAACAGAATGACCCACCTTTGCGTTGCGCCCGTCTGCCGTCGTCTCATCAAACTCTTCGTTCAGCTTGAACTGGATCGAGGTCGTCTTCAAAGTGCTCTCAGCCTTTATTGAAATGACCCCGTCATCCGCCACGCTGATGATCAGGTTGGGCTTTGCCAGGTTCCCCATCTGGCGAGTGGCAAAGCTCATACCTATAGACAAAAGAATTTGTATGCAACTAAAACTCATCAGACCCATTTAAAGTATAATTTAAAAAAAAAAGAAAAAACTCTTACCGACTGCCTTCATGTATTCATCGAAGTTCTCGCTGGAGACTAGAGTCCACTTTCCTACAAACTGCTCGACCATGATGCCAGAGAAAGCGCTCAATCAGCACCACGAAACACTTCACGATCTAAAAGCCGGACACAGGCGACTTGACAAACTTCCCTATTTCAAGCCGGCTGATAACTCCCAACCACCAATCATCAGCAGGTGCCCCGTCGCTTCGGAAATGGCCAGATTAGGGGGCGTGGTCTCGAATAATTAAAAAATAATAATAATTGAATCATGTGATGATCGCTTTTGGTTTTGGCTCTGACTACTGACTTCAGCATTGTTTAAAGCGAGCAGATAATCGTGTAATAGGATCACCTGATTTCTGCCTGACTGCATAGAAGGAAAAATATGCATGCTTTTTGTGCTTTCCCTATAGACTTTTTTTCAACAATTTGTTTGTAAAAGATGTAATGCTTTCTATCTATGTAGAACTACTCTTGTCGTCATTAAATAACATGTTATGTATTTTATTTTAAAATTATTTGTATACTGTTTCTTTTGTCCTTATCCTTGAAAATGAGTTCCTCTGTTTCAGAAGGCCATTCAGGTAAACATACACTATAAAACTGCCAAACTCAGACGTATTTGAACAGCTAATTCATTTGTTCTTATATGCATTTTAAATCAAAATGCTCGTAAAGATAAAGGCGTTGACATTTAAATCTTTGAAACTTGTGGTAATTTAGATGTGAACCAGCAGATGGCAGCATTTGTACAGCAATTCAAGTGTGAAGTTTCCAAACGACTTCAAATTATTTAGGGCACTTGGATAGAAGTAGCCCAAGTGGCCCCCTATTCTCTGACGCGGAGAAACATTTATTTCTAATATCTGTTTTATGTTTTAGTACTTTAGACAGGGGAAACTTCTATTATCAGATATTTTATAAATACACTGCCATAATTTTAAAGTCTTTTCCCTTTTTTTTTTGATGAACATATTTTTGGAAACATAAAGGTCATAAAGGTCCTAACAATGCACTGTTGGAAAAAAAAACAAAACAAAACAAAAATGTATTAAGTATATAAATAAAACACATTGACATTTAATAACAGATCTCTATGGGGAAATTATACAGGATTTTTATATTGATAAGACTGTGAAAGGAAGGAACTTACCAACCTATGAGGATTTCATAGACACCCAGCAAATCAAAAAGGAAAAAAAAAATAAAATTATGAGGTAGGTAATTTCATTAAACCAAAATATGAAGCAACTAAGTAGCTAATCATTAGCTTGTAAGTCTGTCTGAGGAATTTGTTACTAAATTTGATCATCATTGGGGGGGAAGTATAATTACTGATTGATAAACTTAAAATGAATTCTTCTGTGCTGCACAGAGAATCTTTCATGCATTCGCAAAGATATGAAACCTTCATTCTATTTGAGAAAACAAAAACATTTGAATGCACTTTTCCTAACATTGGGGTTATGTTAAATTGCTTTTCAATCAAATATTGTTATTGCTTGCTTCTGTTTGTACCCCAACTAACCTCAATATTCCTCCCTGTAGGTGCAAAATGTACCTGGAGGGAGCTTCCTTGAGACCAAGCAATTCCCTGAAGAAAGATCTTTAGCCACTTTGTGCCTTTACCTCCAAACAGGCTGGATTTATGATTAGTTCCAGAGTCTTCCCAAACTGGACCAGGCTAATCAAGGTCAGTGATTTGTAACTATGCAGATTACCAAATCACTTTTACGCAAATCTAATCCCTCACCTGACAATTTTAGAGCCTTGGAAAACATAGGCCCAAGAATTAGACACTCAACATCTCCATCACATTAAGGTTGTTGTTCTATGGAGGGACTGTTTCTTATATTTTTATGGATTATTTGGCTTGGAAATACTATGTAAATAGTAAAAACAAAAACATGTTTCATTCTAAGCTCTCATGCTAAAGAGTATTGGTGTCAACACTTTGGAATTTTCGGCATTTTGGAAAATTTCCAACAACATTAAACCAAAGAAAAAGAATGAATATGAACGATGTCACGCAACTTAAGGATTTCATTTGGTGTTTCACATATATTACCTTCAATGACAGTCACGATGTAAAGGAGGCTTGGCTGCAATGTGTCTTGGGAGACTGTTTACCAATCCAATAAGCTGATTACTTGTTGTTCTGTCAGCAGGAGTTTCTCTGTGTACATACAGGTGCCGTCCAGCAGCCCCAGAGCTTGTCTAATGAACATGAACTCTTGCTGGCATCCACAGAGGAGTCCCTTCCTTGTGGTTTTCATCAACACTTTCAGACCCCATTGATGGGAGAACAGTGGCCAGGAACAAAAGCTGCGTATACTGTACAAACACAGCTCTGAGCGGACGCACACTGACTCATTCTTCAGTGTGTGTGAGAACGGAGGGGGACCCCTTTCAGCCCCTTTGTGTCAGTGTCTGTCAACAGTGTAGTTGGAGGCAGAGCTCATTGTGGCGGCCAGTGTTGCGTATTGACACAGGGCCTCGTTTAGCTTGTTCCCAGGGTCCAACCTGAGCACTCATGAATAATGGAGAGAGGATCCTCAGGGCCAAGGAGGAGCTTCTAGTGTCTGACTGAGCTTTTTGTAAACTGCAACTTCATGTGCCAGCAGGTAAAACTGGGTCATGGCTGATTATGCCTGGAACTGAACTTGGTGTGATATGGTGTGAATCTGGTTGGGAAGGCTGTGCGTCAGAATAAAAACAAAAACAAACAAAAGATAACACAAGACATCAAAGTTCAAATACGCATGCGTTTTAATCAGTTAGATTATAAAAGACTTAGTTTATGTCTGCAGTTCAATTCTGAATAGTATTACTTATCTGGTAATCAGGTAAAATAACATTGAGATCTAGATCTCATTTTCAAGAGGGACCTGGGCAGAAACTATATAAATACACAGAGTGACATGCTGCAAGTGTTTCTTTCTGTTAATTCTGGTGATAATGGCTTGCAGCTCATAAAATCAAGTCGTGAAAATGATTTAGTTTATATATTACCAGGCTTTCTTCAGCACCTCTGACAAATTGTAACTAAACCACCTTCTAGTTATGTGCAATCCTTCTTAAAGAGGAAGTATTATGTAAAACAGTTTTTGGGGGGGGTTTGGCTTTGCATCATGTCATAATGTTATTCTCTCATCAAAAACATACCTGAATTGTTGCTTTGGTTCTTTCATGCATGTCTGAGAAATCTTTTTATCTCCCATGGCAGCCATTCAGTTGTGCAAAATGATTGTTAGGACAGGAGTAGCAATTTTCAATCTTACAAGCAGATTCAGCTCCTCAGACTAGCCAGCAGCAATTAGCAAACACCTAGTGGAGCCGCGCATCTGCTGAGCTTATTGTGCAAGCTACCTCTGAGTGCAACGCTGGTAAAAAATGCTATTAAATAGTTAATACAGGAGCAACCTCCTGAAGGTGGAGTGCTTGGAAAGAGCAGCCTCGAAGGAGGCCTAAATAATTTCAGGGCATTAAATTGCAAAGTCAAGTTCTTTTATGATATATACAATATTTTTTTCTCCACTGAAAGTAAGACAGTTGATTGTCCTATTAAATATTGCTATGTGCCTGGGAAAACACATAACACTGCCGCTTTAAGTGAAGAAAAATGTGACTTCAAGTTTGATGAGTGGCATTGAACAGGTGTGTGCTGCAAGTCTGGCACCAGCAGGGGGCATCAGTTCAGGTCAGGTTCCCAGCAGTAACAAACTACCATCAGAGAGGCTCACACGACCTGAACGATGTGCCCTCTCCTCTTTGCCTTTTTCTGCAGCTGCAGGGAGAGGCATAGGGGCAGGCGCCAGGCCATGCTGCGTAGCCGGGGTGAAGAGTGTGTGTGCGTGTGTGTGTGCGTGCATGTGCTTATGTGTGTGTGTGTTTATGACGGGGTCAGGGAGGTGCCTCTTGCTTGTGTGCTTTGAGCTTTTTCATGCTTCCTGCTTTGATCTTCCCTCTCATCCCTTTATCCCACACGCTCCCTGAGCCTCGGGCTGCTGGTTTGCAGCACACCGACGGTGGGGCTGCGAAGGGAGAGTTGAAGGAAAGAGGGTGAAGGGGGGCCAGTGAGGGGGGGTCCCTTTCACAGTGAAGCTGCTTGTTCTGTCAATGAAGCACGCTGTGTAGGGAGAGAGCTGTTCATGGGGTTCAGTCAGTGGGTGAGTGGGTGGGGGTCACCAGGAGCTAAACTGATGCACAAAGTACAGTTCTCTCGTCTTTTATCCATTCTCAGATCTCCAAACAGTGGGATGGAATTCCTCTGGCGCGGTGCTCAGAGGGTGGCCTCCTGACCCCTTACAATATGGGAAAGTGCACCCCTCAGCTGGTAGTTATATAAAGTCCACCAGAGTCATGAGAATCCTTGATAAATCACTCGGCTTGAGGCCACTCGTGTCTTTCTGCAGCTCACAAGGAGAGATTATTTTCCACAGGTCCTAAGTAGGCCCGGTTCAAAGTGACGCTACCTAATCGGTATGGCAAGAAGTTAGAGGATCATCATGCGAATATACAGTGAGTTAGGATGCACGCTTTTATCCTCCTCCCATGGCCCCGGTAATCCTGGTGTAACCTTGCAGGCACACACGCGCACACACCTGCTGGCAGCAGACTGGGAAGCACAGATGCATATGCGCGGAGCACAGCCCCCATAATTGAACACTAATTGGAAGGAGGGGAGTGCACTTATCTTTATTTAGACATGTGGTAAGTGTTGGGCAGAGGGAAGCAAGTCAACCATCTCTGCAGCTGACTGCACTGAATATTTTATGACAAGCTCATGAGGGTGTGTTTGTGTCTGTCATGCAGCTATCCGGCTAAAGAAATAATCAAATTAGTCCCTTTAAGTGAAACAGACGATACAGTGATGATACAACATTTTGTTTTAGGGATGAATCTCAAGAAAAACACTTTACAAAAATGACATACAACACTTGGAGTTTTTTTTTTTTTTTTAACAATAAATATGGAGAGGATCTTTTTTTTCAGTAGGCTTCTTATAAACTTTACACTTAGAAATGTTAAGAAATCAACTTAATAGATCTAACGGTGGGACTTGCTTGGATTCTGCTTCATGTTTGTGTAAGAGTGAAGAGAAAAAGCAAAGGGGGCTGTGCTAACAGGGGCTTTCAGCAGATCACTGGCAGTTTGACTGCAGTGGAGAGTAATGGGG